AGGTAGGACGCAATCCAAGAGTGAGCCGCGCCGGAGATGCCCAACTCGGAGAGGGTGGAGAGGAGGATCTGATGGTTCACAGTATCAAAGGCAGCAGATAGGTCTAGAAGGACGAGAGCAGAGGAGAGAGAGTTAGCTTTAGCAGTGCGGAGAGCCTCCGTGACACAGAGAAGAGCAGTCTCAGTTGAATGACCAGTCTTGAAACCTGACTGGTTTGGATCAAGAATGTCATTCTGAGAGCGATAGCAAGAGAGTTGGCTAAAGACGGCACGCTCAAGAGTTTTGGAGAGAAAAGAAAGAAGGGATACTGGTCTGTAGTTGTTGACATCGGAGGGATCGAGTGTAGGACAATGGCTGTTGCAATTGAACCATATGATTAAAGATGTTGTTTAAACTATTAAATGTTGTCTTTGTCTCAGCTCACACTTCCCTTCACCTAATGAAACCATTTTGAGCTTCATGCTTTTATTCTTGATTATAACACAAGAGCTTTGTGTGTGAAATAGTTTGAAGAGATTTAAATCAATAAATGAATAACATTTCACAATATTGTCTACACTGAGATTGATTCCGAAATTACACTTGCGTTATAATGTATAATTCTAATTTCATCACATTTGTCATAGTGATGTACACAACACATATCAGTCATCCAACTACATACAGTGTACATACTGCATAACACAGCCCCAAATTCAATTGGAATTAAAATCACTCAAAGTTCACTGTAATATACAGTAAACTAGGGTTTTTCCTATCTTGTACCTGGCATAATATGGGCATGTTATGCTTTGCAATGTTAATGCCAATGGATTAGTGATCTACTAGTGGCAGACATGTGAGAAAATGTTTACCATCCATTTTTACTGTGTTCAAATGGAATTAAATTACCTCAAAGTTCACTGTAATATACAGTCAACTACACAGGAGGTTGGTGGCACCTTAATTGGGGAGGACAAGCTCGTGGTAATGGCTGGAGCGGAATTAGTGGAATGGTATCAAATACATCAAACACATGGTTTACATGTGTTTGATGCCATTCCATTCGCCCCATTCCAGCCATTATTATGAGCTGTCCTCCCCTCAGCAGCCTCCTGTGGGCAACTAGTGTTTTTCCAATGTTGAAGCTGGCATTGTTAATGACAATGGAGTAAATGATGTACTAGAGGCGGACTTGGGAAAATGTTTACCATCCAATTTTACGGTGTTAAAATTGAATAACTTTACCTCAAACTTCACTGTAATATATACTGAACAAAAATATAAACGCTGAAATTAAAGATCCCAGAATTTTGTGTAAAGTGTTGGTCCCATGTTTCATGAGCTGAAATAAAAGATCCCAGACATTTTCCATACACACAAAAAGCTTATTTCTTTCAAATTATACGCACACATTTGTTTACATCCCTATTAGTAAGCATTTCTCCTTTGCCAAGATAATCCATCCACCTGACAGGTGTAGCATATCAAGAAGCTGATTAAACAGCATGATCATTACACAAGTGCACCTTGTGCTGGGGACAATAAAAGGCCACTCTAAAATGTACAGTTTTGTCACACAACACAATGCCACAGATGTCTCAAGTTTTGAGGGAGTGTGCAATTGGCATGCTGACTGCAGGAATGTCCACCAGAGCTATTGCCAGAGAATTTAATATTAATTTGTCTACCATAAGCCGCCTCCAACATCATTTTTTTGGGAGGCAGTACTTCCAACTGGCCCCACAACCGCAGACCACGTGTAACCACGCCAGCCCAGGACCTCCACATTCGGCTTCTTCACCTGTAGGATCGTCTGAGATCAGCCATCTGGACAGCCGATGAAACTGAGAAGTAACTGAGGCCCTCTGTAGCTCAGTTGGTAGAGCATAGCATTTGCAACGCCAGGGTTATGGGTTCGATTCCCACGGGGGGCCAGTATGAAAATGTATGCACTCACTAACTGTAAGTTGCTCTGGATAAGAGTGTCTGCTAAATGACTAAAATGTATTTCTGTCTGCAATAAAGCCCTTTTGTGGGGAAAAACTAATTCTGACTGGCTGGGCCTGGCTCCCCAGTGTGTGTGTGTGTACTGTGTCATTTTGATTATGGAAGATTGCATAAGTGTGCTTCAAACTTGCTAAACATACCATTTGTTACGAATTTGCTGAATGTATGATATGTTATGAATTTTAGCTAGGTGGCAAACATTAGCTAGCTTGCTAATGTTAACTAGGCTAGGGGTTAGGGTTAGGGGTTAGGGTTAAGTTTAGCAGTTAGGTTAAAGGGTTTAAGGTTAGGGTTAGGGGAAGGGTTAGCTAAAAAAGTTAACATTAGGGGAAGGGTTCGCTAAAAGGGTTAGGGTTAGCTAACATGCTGAGTAGTTGAAAAGTTGCTAAAGTCTTGAGATTTGAACTCGCAACCTTCGGGTTGCTAGACATTTGTGTTATACGCCCACCCATTCACCCATTCACCCCTACCGCCCACCCTACTTTCGTTTTTGCTTTAAGTAACCATCTGTCTTATGTAACCATCCCAAACGTAACATATTATCTAACTAATATGAGTGTCTCGGATTGACACTTACTATGTTACGTCTAACCTATGAGACCAGGCTGTACCAGCAGCTAATGTTAGGCTGTTTTTAGCTTGCTAAATAAATAGCTACATAAATAGATAAGCTAGCATATTAGCCACTTTATGACTGACTTGTGATCATTGGCCTTGCTAGTTTGATTGTATTGACATTCGCAGCCTTAGTTAGCTACATTCGTCAGTTTTTGTCTATAATATTGAGTGAAACTGAAAGTGCATACTGAATGGCTGGAGGAAGCAAACAATGTACCACACCAGCTGCGATTTACAACCTGATAGCAATATTTGTTAGACTACCAAGACATTAATTGGTAAATTATATTAATCATGCATTGAACTGCATCCATCTATTCTGCCAACAATGACTTGCTGTACGTCATGGACTTTTGAGTAAAATAGAACCTATTTTTAGAACCTCTTCCAAAGTTTGTTTTGTAGCATAAACTGGGAATTTGATATTTTTGACTGATATTATGATTGTCTGTTTCATATCTGCAAAGTACACTGAACAAAAATATAAACACAACATGCAACAATTTCTACGATTTTACTGAATTGCAGTTCATATAAGGAAATCAACCAATTGAAATACATTCATTAGGCCCTAATCTATGGATTTCACATGACTGGGAGTACAGATATGGATCTGTTGCTCACAGATACCTTAAAAAATAGGGACGTGGATCAGAAAACCAGTCAGTATCTTGTGTGACCACCATTTGCCTCAACTCCTTCGCATAGAGTTGATCAGGCTGTTGATTGAGGCCTGTGGAATGTTGTCCCACTCCTCTTCAATGGCTGTGTGAAGTTGCTGGATATTGGCGGGAACTGGAACACGCTGTTGTACTTGTTGATCCAGAGCATCCCAAACATGCTCAATGGGTGACATGTCTGGTGAGTATGCAGGTCAAGGAAGAACTGGGACATTTTCAGCTTTCAGGAATTGTGTACAGATCCTTGCAACATGAGGCCATGCATTATCATGTTGAAACAAGGTGATGGTGGAGGACAATGGGCCTCAGGATCTCGTCACGGTATCTCTGTGCATTCAAATTGCCATCGATAAAATGAAATTGTATTCGTTGTCCGTAGCTTATGCCTGCCCATACCATAACCCCACCGCCACCATGGGGCACTCTATTCACAATGTTGACATCAGCAAACCGCTCCCCCACACGACGCCATCTGCCCGGTACAGTTGAAACCGGGATTCATCCGTGAAGAGCACACTTCTCCAGCGTGCCAGTGGCCATTGAAGGTGAGCATTTGCCCACTGAAGTCGGTTACAATGCCAAACTGCAGTCAGGTCAAGACCATGGTGAGGACGACAAGCACGCAGATGAGCTTCCCTGAAACAGTTGTGCAAACCCACAGTTTCATCAGCTGCCCAGGTGGCTGGTCTCAGACAATCCCGCAGGTGAAGAAGCCGGATGTGGAGGTCCTGGGCTGGCATGGTTACACGTGGTCTGCGGTTGTGAGGCTGGTTGGACGTACTGCCAAATTCTCTAAAACAATGTTGGAGGTGGCTTATGGTAGAGAAATTAACATTAAATTATCTGGCAACAGCTCTGGTGGACATTCCTGCAGTCAGCATGCCAATTGCATGCTCCCTCAAAACTTGAGACATCTGTGGCATTGTATTGTGTTCCAAAACTGCACATTTTAGAGTGGCCTTTTATTGTCCCCAGCACAAGGTGCACCTGTGTAATGATCATGCTGTTTAATCAGCTTCTTGATATGCCACACCTGTCAAGTGGATGTATTATCTTGGCAAAGGAGAAATGCTTACTAACAAATTTGTGCGTATAATTTGAAAGAAATAAGCTTTTTGTGCGTATGGAAAATGTCTGGGATCTTTTATTTCAGCTCATGAAACATGGGACCAACACTTTACATGTTGCGTTTATATTTTGGTTCAGTGTAGTTAAAACGCTGTCAGCTCCACTTTAAGTATTGGATTGGGCGCTGTAGAGGGGGCAGAGTGAAAAGGCAGCAGCAGGCTGTGCAACACAATCCCCCTCCAAAACTACACATATTTGGTTAGTAGAGACCCCACTTTAGCTGAGACAGGTAGACAAGTGTTCTCTCTACAGCCCAATATTCTCAACATACCAGTGTCAACACTGTATTTTTTCATTATTGGTCTATTTTTATAAACCATTAAAAAATATATATAAATTCCCTATAGCAATTTCTTGTTGGCACAATAAAAGTGGGCATTGATAAAAATTCAATATAATTTGAATGCGTTATCCACATTGCAATTTTTTGAAATGCAGGCTTTTATTTAGAAGGTTTCGTCATTACCATATATAAATGAAGTCATTGTTTGTGCTGCTGGCAGAGTACAAGTGGCTGTGTGTGGGAGTTTGAACCTTCAGTAATAACGGGACACTTTAGCTTTCGAATCTTTACTGTTAAGTATCATGGCATTTGTGGTCAAATTTTCATGTGCGATTGTTACTAGGTTGTTATTTATTCTTATCTCACTCATCGGAGTTTGGAGAGTAACATTGGTTAAAGATGACCATATCTACTGGTTTCTGACGTTCCTCTTTCTACCTCTCGTTGTCGAAATGATCATAACTTTGAAAAGAAGAAAGGGAAAAGATTATAAATGGTAAGATGTTGTAATTTTTTTAATGTCTTCTGAGTAGGCTACGTACGCTATTTTGTACATCAGCATACTGTGCGTAATTTGTAATGTGCAGGCTATCCACTTATTTTAATCCTAAAGACATAACAGACAACAAATTAACAAGATAAGTGCTAAATGAAGTTTTTCTGGGGAAGAATCCAATCCATTATGATTTTGCATTGCTTCTTTTTTTCTTTTTCTTTTTACTGTACAACTGACTACAGCCCCATTCCCCCTCCATAGAGAGTCCGTATCGTGCTGCTTATCCCATTGTGCTAAATAAAATGGCCTGGGACAAAGTGGGATAGGGTGGAACCCCTAGACTGAAGAATGACATGTCTGTCTGACACGTCTCCCTCTGAGAGAACACTCTTCCTGTGCTCCCAAAATAATATGTGATTGTTTTGTCAAACGTTATGATTAAGTCATAAAGAGGATAAAGTGGTTAGAATTGGGTTCATCCTTGCATGTGTTGGTTCTATTTGATGCTATTTGTTTTACCATTGTGTTTTTTGGCTATTCTTTGGGTAAAAAAAAAAAAAAAATGGTATTGTCTTCTGTTTTCCCACTGCTGTATCATTGGTGCTGGATTGCTATTCTGTGGGCTTAAGATATAAAACATATATAATCACAGGGAATGGACCATCATTTGTGGATAACTTTGGATAGGTGCGTGAATCTCTAAAATGTATGTGAATGGAATAAAGAGTTAATGAATAAAGTTCATTTTCTCCTCCAACCCGAGGTTCTCTCCAGCCATCTTGTTGTTCCTGATCAGTATCATTCCATCCATCTGGATTCTGGAACTACATCATCAGCGTAACAAATCTAGTGACCCCCAGGTACAGAAAACAGAGGAGAGACATCCCACAGCTCCATGTTCAATGTATGCATGACAGTTATGAAACATTTACTTACAACAAATGTTAGATATACTGCACTGAATTGTTAGATATACTACACTGTTGGAGCTAGAAACACAAGCATTTCGCTACACCCGCAATAACATCTGCTAAACGTGTATGTGACAAATAAAATCTGATTTGATTTAACTTATCTAATTTCAGTGCAAGAAACTGGATTCATGGGAAAATGTGAGAAGCATGATTTCTCTGAACGAAACGGTGGGGAATTTAACGGTTCAAACCTATCTAAAGGTAAATACTGGAACTTGTTTTAATTTCTTGACTATTTTGCCTTTTACCCTTTCATATATACGGTTGAAGTCGGAAGTTTACATACACCTTAGCCAAATACATTTAAACTCAGTTTTTCACAATTCCTGACATTTTATCCTAGTAAAAATTCAGTTAGGATCACCACTTTATTTAAAGAATGTGAAATGTCAGAATAATAGTACAGAGAATGATTTATTTCAGCTTTTATTTCTTTCACATTCCCAGTGGGTCAGAAGTTTACATACACTCAATTAGTATTTGGTAGCATTGCCTTTAAATTGTTTAACTTGGGTCAAACGTTTCGGGTAGCCTTCCACAAGTTTCCCACAATAAGTTGGGTGAATTTTGGCCCATTCCTCCTGACAGAGCTGGTGTAACTGAGTCAGGTTTGTAGGCCTCTTTGCTCGCACATGCTTTTTCAGTTCTGCCCACACATTTTCTATAGGATTGAGGTCAGGGCTTTGTGATGGACACTCCAATACCTTGACTTTGTTGTCCTTAAGCCATTTTGCCACAACTTTGGAAGTATGCTTGGGGTCATTGTCCATTTTTCCTCCAAACATAAAAATGGTCAAACAGTTATATTTTTGTTTCATCAGACCAGAGGACATTTCTCCAAAAAGTACGAGCTTTCCACTAAATGTTGTTACATTGCTGAAGGGACTTGCTTCCATTCAGCCACAAGAGCATTAGTGAGGTCGGGCACTGATGTTGGGCGATTAGGCCTGGCTCGCAGTCTGAGTTCCAATTCATCCCAAAGGTGTTCGATGGGTTTGGGGTCAGGGCTCTGTGCAGGACAGTCAAGTTCTTCCACACCGATCTCGACAAACCATTTCTGTATGGACCTCGCTTTGTGCACGGGGGCATTGTCATGCTGAAACAGGAAAGGGCCTTCCCCAAACTGTTGCCACAAAGTTGGAAGCACATAATTGTCTAGCATGTCATTATATGCTGTAGCGTTAAGATTTCCCTTTACTGGAACTAAGGGTCCTAGCCCCAACCATGAAAAACAGCCCCAGACCATTATTCCTCCTCCACCAAACTTTACAGTTGTCACTATGCATTCGGGGAGGTAGCGTTCTCCTGGCATCCCTAAATCAGTAAACATGGGCACCCTCATAGATATCATCCTGACTAATTTACACTCTAAATACACCTCCGCTGTCTTCAACCAGGATCTCAGCGATCACTGCCTCATTGCCTGCGTCCGTAATGGGTCCGCGGTCAAACGACAACCCCTCATCACTGTCAAACTCTCCCTAAAACACTTCAGCGAGCAGGCCTTTCTAATTGACCTGGCCCGGGTATCCTGGATGGATATTGACCTCATTCCCTCAGTAGAGGATGCCTGGATGTTCTTCAAAAGTGCTTTCCTCTCCATCTTAAATAAGCATGCCCCATTCAAAAAATTCAGAACTAAGAACAGATATAGCCCCTGCTTCACCCCAGACTTGACTGCCCTTGACCAGCACAAAAACATCCTGTGGCGTACTGCATTAGCATCGAACAGCCCCCACGATATGCAACTTTTCAGGGAAGTCAGGAACCAATATACACAATCAGTTAGAAAAGCAAAGGCTAGCTTTTTCAAACAGAAATGTGCATCCTGTAGCACTAACTCCAAAAAGTTTTGGAACACTGTAAAGTCCATGGAGAATAAGAGCACCTCCTCCCAGCTACCCACTGCATTGAGGCTAGGAAACACTGTCACGCCGATAAATCTACGATAATCGAGAATTTCAATAAGCATTTTGCTACGGCTGGCCATGCTTTCCACCTGGCTACCCCTACCCCAGCCACCAGCTCTGCACCCTCCGCTGCAACTTGCCCATGCCCCCCCCACGCTTCTCCTTCACCCAAATTCAGATAGCTGATGTCCTGAAAGAGCTGCTAAATCTGGACCCCTACAAATCAGCTGGGCTAGACAATCTGGACCCTTTCTTTCTAAAATTAGCTGCCAAAATTGTCGCAACCCCTATTACTAGCCTGTTCAATCTCTCTTTCATATCGTCTGAGATCCCCAGAGATTGGAAAGCTGCCGCGGTCATCCCCCTCTTCAAAGGGGGTGACACTCTAGATCCAAACTGTTACAGACCTATATCCATCCTGCCCTGCCTTTCTAAAGTATTTGAAAGCCAATTTAACAAACAGATCACTGACCATTTCGAATCCCACCGTACCTTCTCCGCTATGCAATCTGGTTTCCGAGCTGGTCATGGGTGCACCTCAGCCACGCTCAAGGTCCTAAACAATATAATAACCGCGATCGATAAAAGACAGTACTGTGCAGCCGTCTTCATTGACCTGGCCAAGGCTTTTGACTCTGTCAATCACCGCATTCTTATTGGCAGACTAAATAGCCTTGGTTTCTCAAATGACTGCCTTACCTGGTTCACCAACTACTTCTCAGATAGAGTTCAATGTGTCAAATCGGAGGGCCTGTTGTCTGGACCTCTGGCAGTCTCTATGGGGGTGCCACAGGGTTCAATTCTCGGCCCGACTCTAGTCTCTGTGTACATCAATGATGTCGCTCTTGCTGCTGGTGACTCTCAGATCCACCTCTACGCAGACGACACCATTTTGTATACATCTGGCCCTTCATTGGACACTGTGTTAACAAACCTCCAAACGAGGCCATGGAAACCCATTTCATGAAGCTCCCGACTAACAGTTATTGTGCTGACGTTGCTGCCAGAGGCAGTTTGGAACTCGATAGTGAGTGTTGCAACTGAGGACAGCGGTCCCGTTCTGTGAGCTTGTGTGGCCTACCACTTCGCCGCTGAGCCGGTGTTACTCCTAGACGTTTCCACTTCACAATAACAGCACTTACAGTTGACCGGGGCAGCTCTAGCAGGGCAGACATTTGACGAAACTGACTTGTTGGAAAGGTGGCATCCTATGACGGTGCCACGTTGAAAGTCACTGAGCTCTTCAGTAAGGCCATTCTACTGTCAATGTTTGTCTATGGAGATTGCATGGCTGTGTGCTTGATTTTATACACATGTCAGAAACGGGTGTGGCTGAAATAGCCAAATTCACTAATTTGAAGGGGTGTCCACATAGTTTTGTATATACAGTGTATATTCTGATCATTTCATCATAGCATGACTCAGGTGACCAGAGTCTGACTGTATAATGGGGAATCCCCGTGTTTGTCAGGATTTCTTTACAGATGTATTTGGGAATACACAGTCAACGAGGGTGACATCTAAGTATACTTTTCATTATTAACATATAAGGTTATTTCTATTGCAGTGACATCGCTCTCAGGGGTCATTAGCGGACTCTTCTTCCCTACCCTGAGCCTTTCCAAAAGTACATTTTCGAGTGCTTATTATCTGTGGTTTGACCCTCTGTTCCTTCTCTTGACATTCAAGGGTCTTGACCAACTCTTGTCCACGGTGTGTCCCAACGACTGGATCCTGGCCCTCCATCAGGTCCTGCTAATCCTACTGATCATAGGGAAGTGGCTCCTCCCACTGGGGGGCGGGGTCACACGGGAGGAACTCTCCCAGCTCCTGCTCATCTTCGTTGGCACGGCAGCTGACATCTTGGAGTTCACCAGTGAAACACTGTCTGATGTCAAGTAAGTGTCCTACCTTTCAATTTACTTTACTGAGACTAAAAGCTTCTCAGAGGATTTTCAGAGCCTGTAGCAGACTTTACTAGATCCCAGTGTTCTCACATTAATCTGCTGACCTAAGTGCCTTTAGTAGTGTGTTAAGAGTTTTTGGATTACAACTTCTCATCTGACTCCATATAGACTTTTGTATCACAAGGAACCACAATACTGCAGTGCTACTTAAATATTTACTAGTTACATACTTACTAAGTTACTACTAAGTAAGCATATAACGTTTAACTTACTAGTTACTAAATAGTATAAATAATGTAACAACCAGGGGTGGAATTCACTCAAAATCACTCTGAGAATTCATCAATGTAAAATCCTAGAATTGACATAAAAAACTAAAACCGGTAACAACAGTGGACATGCATTGACTTGTTGAGCTGTATGTTCCTTATTCCTCCCAGGGAGAACAGCCCTCAGCTGGTGTACATCATCCTAGCGGTGTGGACCTGGAGCATGTTACAGTTTCCTCTCCATCTGGCCGGTGGGTCTCTACATTTCATAATATTATTAATATCAGCAGTGAACTTAACTATCCTTGACTTTTGGCCAACAGACAAAGGCTATTGGGATCTGTCTGAATGTTGAGGCTCGTATTCTTTAGGGTGAATTACAGATCTGATGTATTTTATATGCTGATGCCAAGACTTTCATGGTGGGTTTGAGGGTTCATTTGAGTGGTACAGCCATATCATAGACAACATTGTGGATGTCACATCTTTGATGGCAAATCTTTCCTTATCTGTTGTAGACATAGAACTGCAGAGAGCCTCCCCCCATGACCCCACCTACTTTCTCAAGTTATCTCTTTGTAGCATGACTGTGGCCAGAAAATACTTGTCAGTGGAGCATTACATATACTCAAATGGGATCTGTTTAGACTTTGGTTAAACATTTGAAAGGAGGCAAACCAGCTCTATCGTAGCCATGTTGCTACATAAACAGGTGTGCAGATTTGTTTGCTATCACCGTTTTCACTTCCTACACACAAACTACAATGATCTCGCCATATGATAAAAGCAAACTTTATTTAGTACAGTCAGAAATGCAGTTTTATCATCAGTATGGCTAAAATAGGAAGATGCAGCAATACATATGGATTTCCCTTTTATATTGCGTACCGTACAGTGATTTGATCTGACTGCTTTATAAACAGGTTAAGGCTCACTTCTTCTTCGGTTCTTCATTGCTTGGCTGATGGAGTAGGCTATTGTCAGGCAAACTGCCAATAACCCAGACCTCCTGAAATCCATTATAGCCGTGTGGCTAAACAATTCAGGGTTGAGGATCATAAAGAGTTCATTGCGGCCTCCCTTGTTCTCAGACCGACCCCTATCTACTGAATTATTCGCAACTTGAAATCATTTGCTAGAAGTGGATACGTGACCATCCACTCATCACACATAACATAATGAAGATGTACTTAGAATATGCAATTCTTTATATCTACAATAATCCTGTTGAAGACTTCAACGGAAATACTTCTGGCCTTCAGCCCTAGTTTCCAATAATATGTGAAAAATTGTTTTTGAAACTCAACTTGTGTGTGTGTGTGTCCTTAGTGGTGAACTCAAAGCCAGAAAGCGAGGGCGAGGGCCAAGGCGATTCCCTCCTGACCAAGCACAGCACAGACATATGGAGCATCATTGAGAGCCTGTTCATCCAGGATGGCCCTTTCCTCGTGGTCCGGCTCACCGTCATGACCTACTTTGATGTCTTCCACCAGATGTTGGTGTTCTTTGCCATTAAAAACTTCCTGGTGGTCATTCTGAACTTCTACCGGCTGGCCGTCATATGCCAGAACTACAGACCTGTAGTCAGGTCCAGATGCAGCAGCAACATCCCTGATTGTAGTAGGGTAGAGGTGGAGAGGAAGTATGGGGAGGGGAGGTCGGAGAGAAACAAGGTTCCTGCCTCTGCTTTGGAGGAAGTTAATACAGACTGTGAAAGTATCATTACGTAGTGCACCGTTTATACAATGCACAAGTTCAATATTGGACAGGATTTGTGAGTTCCAATGCTGGAATTAATTATGTGACTTGACATTTCCATGGGTAAAGGGAAGGAGAGACAGAAACAGTTTAACATTCACAAGCATATATTCAACTTCAGCTCAGCTGATTTTCTACAGTATTTTAACTTTTTTGTAATGTTTTTACCCTTTTGACAACAAAAAAGCCATGGCTTAGAAGTTTACCCCCAAAGGCATGTGAAATAGAAAACAACTTGTTTGAGTTAGTAAAACAAAGGGTATGCTTGTAAAGATAGGCAGCCAAGTGTAACTGTCCACAGCTGACAAAATCAACCCAATTTTGTTTTCCAAAGGTGTGATTATTCAGTGCATTCGGAAGGTATGCAGACTCCTTCCCTTTTTCCACATTTTGTTACGTTACAGCCTTATCCTAAAATGGATGAAATAAAAAGAAATCCTCAATCTACACACAATACACCATAATGACAAAGCGAAAACAGGTTTTTAGAAACTTGTGCACTGTCAACTGTGGGACCTTATATAGTCATGTGTGTGCCTTTCCAAATCATGTCCAATCAATTGAATTTACCAGAGGTGGACTCCAATCAAGTTGTAGAAACATCTCAAGGATGATCAATGGAAACAGAAATACCTTATTTATATAAGTATTCAGACCCTTTGCTATGAGACTTGAAATTGAGCTCAGATGCATCCTGTTTCCATTGATCATCCTTGAGATGTTTCTACAACTCTGGTCTGTCCTAGGAGTGAGGGTAAACAGTAGGCATGTTCTCAGCTGTCCAGTTTATGTTTTAATAATTATTTTGGGTATAGGGGAGGGTCACTTTTTTTTTTTCAAGCGTTCAGGTAGGGTCGGGTAAAGATATATTTTAAAGAGTTCATTGCGGCCTCCCTTGTTCTCAGACCAACCCCTATCTACTGAATTATTCGCAACTTGAAATAATTTGCTAGAAGTGGATACGTGACCATCCACTCATCACACATAACATAATGAGGATGTACTTAGAATATGCAATTCTTTATATCTACAATAATCCTGTTGAAGACTTCAACAGAAATACTTCTGGCCTTCAGCCCTAGTTTCCAATCAATCAATCAATCAATTTTATTTTATATAGCCCTTCTTACATCAGCTAATATCTCGAAGTGCTGTACAGAAACCCAGCCTAAAACCCCAAACAGCTAGTAATGCAGGTGTAGAAGCACGGTGGCTAGGAAAAACTCCCTAGAAAGGCGAAAACCTAGGAAGAAACCTAGAGAGGAACCAGGCTATGAGGGGTGGCCAGTCCTCTTCTGGCTGTGCCGGGTGGAGATTATAACAGAACCATGCCAAGATGTTCAAAAATGTTCATAAGTGACAAGCATGGTCAAATAATAATCAGGAATAAATCTCAGTTGGCTTTTCATAGCCGATCATTAAGAGTTGAAAACAGCAGGTCTGGGACAGGTAGGGGTTCCATAACCGCAGGCAGAACAGTTGAAACTGGAATAGCAGCAAGGCCAGGCGGACTGGGGACAGCAAGGAGTCACCACGGCCGGTAGTCCCGACGTATGGTCCTAGGGCTCAGGTCTCTCAGTTGGCTTTTCATAGCCGATCATTAAGAGTTGAAAACAGCAGGTCTGGGACAGGTAGGGGTTTCGTAGCCGCAGGCAGAACAGTTGAAACTGGAATAGCAGCAAGGCCAGGCGGACTGGGGACAGCAAGGTGTCATCATGCCCGGTAGTCCTGACGTATGGTCCTAGGGCTCAGGTTCTCAGAGAGAAAGAGAGAACGAGAGAATTAGAGAGAGCATACTTAAATTCACACAGGACACTGGATAAGACAGGAGAAGTACTCCAGGTATAACCAACTAACCCCAGCCCCCCGACACATAAACTACTGCAGCATAAATACTGGAGGCTGAGACAGGAGCGGTCCGGAGACACTGTGGCCCCATCCGAAGAAACCCCCGGACAGGGCCAAACAGGAAGGATATAACCCCACCCACTCCGCCAAAGCACAGCCCCCGCACCACTAGAGGGATATCCCCAACCACCAACTTACAATCCTGAGACAAGGCCGAGTATAGCCCACAGAGGTCTCCACCACAGCACAAACCAAGGGGGGGGGGCGCCAACCCAGACAGGAAGATCACGTCAGTAACTCAACCCACTCAAGTGACGCACCCCTCCCAGGGACGGCATGAAAGAGCACCAGCAAGCCAGTGACTCAGCCCCTGCAACAGGGTTAGAGGCAGAGAACCCCAGTGGAGAGGGGAACCGGCCTGGCAGAGACAGCAAGGGTTGTTCGTTGCTCCAGCCTTTCCGTTCACCTTCACACTCCTGGGCCAGACTACACTCAATCATATGACCTACTGAAGAGATAAGTCTTCAGTAAAGACTTAAAGGTTGAGACCGAGTCTGCGTCTCTCACATGGGTAGGCAGACTGTTCCATAAAAATGGAGATCTATAGGAGAAAGCCCTGCCTCCCGCTGTTTGCTTAGAAATTCTAGGGACAATTAGGAGGCCTGCGTCTTGTGACCGTAGCGTACGTATTGGTATGTACGGCAGGACCAACTCGGAAAGATAGGTAGGAGCAAGCCCATGTAACGCTTTATAGGTTAACAGTAAAACCTTGAAATCAGCCCTTGCCTTAACAGGAAGCCAGTGTAGGGAAGCTAGCACTGGAGTAATATGATCAAATTTCTTAATATGTGAAAATTTCAATAATATGTGAAAATTGTTTTTGAAACTCAACTTGTGTGTGTGTGTGTCCTTAGTGGTGAACTCAAAGCCAGAAAGCGAGGGCAAGCTTGTAGCGTCCTATCCAAGAAGATACGAGGCTGTAATCGCTAAATACTAATATAAATGGGATATTTCAGTTTTATTTTATACACTGGCAAAAAATTTAAAAACCTGTTTTTGCTTTGTCATTATGGGGTATTGTGTGTAGATTGATGAGAGAAAAAAACAATGTAATCAATTTTAGAATAAGGCTGTAACGTAACAAAATGTGGAAGAAGTCTATAGGACTGAATACTTTCCAAATGCACTGTAATACGCCTGGTTGAATTGAGCTTAGAATGGTGGGCAGTTGAATTTTTATTTTCTATATTGAAATGTATTAATATTCTTTATTTCAATGCAGGTAGATTGTTTTTTGTATTTTACGTTATTTCATTCATTGAAAACAAATAAGAAATCAGTGTTTTTATTCAGTGAACATATTTTAGACAATCTGGGGAATTTGCATACAGCAGTGTTGGGAGGTCTTTATTGTGTGCATACAAATCAATCCAAAGTCAAAACCTTATCAAATAAGCCTAACTGTTGGGTATTGTTTCTGGGTGCTGGTAAGTGTCTAACCCTATTCTTCCACTATCGAATCATTGCCTAAGAGCCTGTACGTTATTTATAATGAGGGATACCTGGAGAATGTCGGACCGCTCTGAAATAATAATGGATGGCCCTCCCTTCAGTAAAATATATTTTTACCCGACCCACCTGAACACTTTAAAAAAAGTGACCCTCCCCTATACCCAAAATAATAATTAAAACATAAACTGGACAGCTGAGAACATGCCTACTGTTTACCCTCACTCCTAGGACAGACCAGAGCATTAGATATGCAGTTTTATAATCTATTTTTGTTTTTTAAGCATTATATCGCAAAGTAGCCAGAAGGTTGTGGACCTGGGACATCAGGTGGGTGCAATTAATTATCAGGTAGAACAGAAAACCATTAGGCTCCAGACCTCATAGGGTAAGAGTTGAATACACCTGGCCTATAGCATTGGGCACACATCGAGCTATAATAAGCAACTCTGAGCAATATTACAAATTACATGACCCTCCCCTGGACTAAATAAAAAAATACTAAACCCTCCCTGACTGAAATTGAAAAAGCTTGACCATCCCCCATTTTCCACGGGGTAACCATTTTGTAAATTTCGACCACTCCCTAAATGGGGTCACAACCAGGGTTATCTTTACATGACAGAATGACTGTACTCACTCTCTATGGTGACTCCTCCGTGAGAACTTTGCAGTCGTACTAGGAGCTCTATTCAATGCGTATCGCGGAAGTTCAGCATTACAGCGTTGAAATTTAAGGGCAATGTTCTCCCGTTAGCAGAGACTGCATTTACGGTAAATGCTGCATTTGTCGGCTCAATTGGAAAGGGCAATCTGTAACGCTTCTGCAATACATATTGAATACTGGCTCAAGTCCAGATACTGTATCATAAATGTCGCATTGTTGTAGATATCGCTTCACATTACATTCATGTTAACGGCTCTCTTGTCAGAATGTAGGTCAACGTATAAATGGCATTTTATTCTGGGTGAGGATATGATTTAAGAAAAACAAACTGAATATGTTCAATAGAAATACATTATTCTATCCCTCATGCAGCAGCCTTTTTTAAAATTGAAAGGCTGCTGTTTTATTTTTCACCACTTGCCATTTATAAGCAATGAGTGACAGGCCAAGAATACAAAAGACCAAGTAATTAGAGAATGCCACATAACAAATCAGTATTCATGTGAATTTACTTCACTCCCACTCAACTGTGATTCTTTGCTCTACAGTGCTTCTTTGTTGGAAGTGCCTGCAGTTTAGCCCAATGCATGAAGGAAACATGATGAAAATACCCCTTCCTCTACAACAGTGATTGATTAGGCACAAGGGGCACGTTCCAGATAAACATATTCTGAGCAGAATCTGAGATTATTTTATGAAATTCCTACACTTCTCCAGGCATTGTCTTATAACCTGCCCAGTCGTGCACAAAATGTGTAACTAGGACACAGACTATTTGATTTAGCTAATTATTCTGATAGCTAAATTACACTGGCATTACTTAACTATAGTAGGCTACAATGAGCCAGTCCACTTTGAATATTGCTTAAAGACCCAGTGCAGTCAAAATGCTGTACTATATTGTACAACAGCTGATGAAACGAACACTGTAAAAGTGTGAAGATCCGTGTTGTTTTGTATGGGTGGCGTTTTGGAAAGCCTGGTGACATCACCAGGTGGTATAAATTAATAGACCAATAACACAGTTCCAAACCGCTCTGCCAATAGATCAATTTCCCAGCCGCGTCATAAAAAGTTGCAACAGAAAGGGGTTTGTTTACATTGGAGTTGATAGAGAATCCTCCAACCTCAAATGCAGCTGGTGCAAGTTACACTTAATTTGATGGTTATGGTCTACAACATCGCATATGTCATCGGATGATTGATTACCTAGCAAGCAAGATATCACAAATAGAGCTAGATAAAAGCCAGAAAAACAATATACTTGAACATACTGTAGCTATAGCCATCAGTCTGGTGTTTTCATGGTTCTTACTCACTGTTAAGTTTGTCACGGTCCCGCAATCAGCATTCGTTATCCTGCTATTTTTTAGTGTGAGGATGCGCGCTTGTAAACACAAAATTGCTCTATAACAGCTTGTTTTCAGGTTACATATGCCTCCGATTAGGCTCCTCCACTCTGAATATTGATCCACACTGTGGTTAATGCACCACTTTGGTACCCTTCCCTTCCCACACAGTCCTAGCAATATTCTTACTTGAGAACGTTTTTTTGTTCAAATTCCATTTTAATTTATTTGTGATGATTTTAATGGAAAACTATAACAGTAAGGTACTTGTCACCCAGAAATTATTTTATATTGAGAAAAACTGCTGCAATGGGCCTTTAATGCTATTAAAAACAAATGGTCATTTCCTACTTTATTGGAGGTGGGTTATCACACAAATCACATCCTTTTAACCTCCCTGTCCTGCTAGGGAAGACATCCACAACTGACCACCTTGTTTACATTTGAGTCATTTAGCAGACGCTCTAATCCAGAGCGATTTACAGGAGCAATTGGGGTTAAGTGCCTTTCTTAAGGGCACATCGGCATGTTTTTCACCTTGTCGGCTCGGGATTCGAACCAGCGACCTTTGGGTCACTGGCCCAACGCTCTTAACCGTTAGACTACCTGCCGCCTCAATGAAGGAGCATGTATGACATCGAGTAGAACCAGGCAGGATGCACACAAACGTAATTTCGGTTTGGGAATATATGCGACTGTCAAGAAATGCATTACAACTTTGAAACAAATGCAGTGTAGGTTGGCCAACTAAAACTCGCTCTAAAAAGGAATCTAACAGAGTTTCCTTCTACCAGCCAGACAAAATACTAAATCGGAGGAACTGGTTAGTTTTTTATCCCAGCATAATACATTTTCTTACTCCCCCTCTTAAAACAAATTGTTTGATCCTGGTTTTAAACAAGTCTAGAGGAAGGATTATGTTAAACCCTGATACGGTATTGTAGTATATGAAGATTATGACTTTGTTAATGTTTTTAAGTGGAACCTGAGGGGATGTTTATTTTAGCTCAAAGAGAGCCGTTTTTAGTGCGACGCCACATAGGACAGTAGAAGGAGCCATTTTGTAGTGACACCCCTGTTGGTTGGAGACAGGTGATTGGACAGTAGAGGGAGCCACCCATATCTTGGGAAGATTATATATACTGGGTAAAAAACGAAGAAGAGGTTAGAGCGGCCATTGCAATCTGGGACGCCGCTCTCCGGGTGGTCTGGACATCCGTAAAATCATGCTGGAATCTTGTGATATGAATAAAACTTATGATCAAAGGTTCAGTATGAGCGGACTCCTTTGTTTATCAGCAATAATGACTAGCAACTTTGACTCGACACTACAGTATGATTTGCAAAAAATTGAAATATCCACTTTTGAAAGCATTAAACTGAACGCAGGAATCCTGCAACAAAGTGACAGATTAACAGTTATTATTCCCCAATTTAAAAAAAAACATACACAACTTAAAAGTATGGGATCTAGAAAAGTGCACTTTATTGAAAATATACTACTTTTGAATGTAACCTTTAGTACATGTTACTTTAGATCCAAACCGGTTTCATATTTTTTTTAAACATTATTTACAGCATAATTATTAATTTTACCAGTAGATAGAAAAAGGACAAACAAAGGAAAAAAACATACAAAAAAACCAGACGATCAATACGCTTCCATAATTGTACTCTTTTTCAGGTCCTTTGAGTCGAGCTGTGAGGCGTTTACATCTTGACCATGCTGGCAGGTAGAGTGGTTTTGTCCAGGTCGTCAAAGTATGGATGGCTCATAGCCTGTCTGGCAGAAATCCTCTTGGGTGGGTCATAGATTAGCGTTTTCTTTAATAGAGGAAGAAATAATGTTTCACTTCATAACCTTCTACAGAAGGTGGGACATGGTCATTTTTATGTGTATCCTAAAGGCTACTGCTGGGCTGACGGAACAATAGGTCACTTCAATATCACTAATACTATCCAAAACAGAAACACAACCAGCCCCTTGAAAAAGACACATGTGCACTGGGCTTCTACAGCAACAATGTTTCATAATGAATCAATCTAAATAAAAACAAGGAGAATGGTGAAATCATCTTACAGCGAGCAGATCAATGCCGTTCTTGTCCAGGTTCTTCACCATGGAAGACAGGTTCCCAGACTTCCACTTGGGAAACGTGTTCTTGTAGTCAGGCAGAGACTCCACCTCTGGCCAGATGTCATTGTTGGGAGTACCAAGGGTCCTGAAACAGGAGGAGACAACGATGCTTGATATATACTTCATTCAAGACAATGCTGTATGAACATCATGGAGCAATTATCTCTGTGTTGACTGTCTAACTTGTCTGTGTCAATAATTTTAAATGGCTCGTTGCCCATGACAGATCAATCAAATGTTCTAATCTATGATCAAAGATCTACATTGTTTACAACAAACTTATTGATTAACCAACCTAGATGTTGCTAGTAGTAGGATTGGTTATATTACAGATGTGTATACTCGTATGCAAATATACCTGAAGATCCTGAAAAGCTGGTCAATCTCTGAGTCTCCATGGAAAAGTGGTTTCTTTGTGGCCAACTCTGCAAAGATGGTCCCAATACTCCAGACATCCACAGGGGTGGAGTACCGTGGGGCCCCCAGCAGCACCTCAGGAGCCCTGTACCACAGTGTCACAACCTGGACACAGACAAATGATGCCATTAATCTACGTGTGCATACACACCCCTTATGATAGCCTAACTTTACATGTGTATCTGCTAATTAGTGATGTGCAGTTCAAGAACGATTCATTCTTTTTGAACAACTTTTTACTAACTCGAGAGTCACGACTAATTATTCAGAGTAACTCGTTCATTTTAGTTTGTTCGTTTGACCTACTGGTCGCCATCAATTCTACAGTAGGATTAATATGCGCTCCTCCGCCTCAGTGTCTCCGGAGACGTGCTCCGACCAGCAACTGTCTATCATGTGCGCCAGGGAAAATAGATCATGATGAAGGCAGCATAGAGGAGAAAAATACATGTTTAGAACTGATAACTGATCGCATGGCGCAAGAATTAATGCTATTAATTGATTATTGAATGTTAACTCGATGGACACAGCTATGTAGAACCAAAAACATACACAGCCTGCCTTTGCTCAACACCCGAACTCGAGAACGAATCATTTGGCGGGCTGCTGCAGTTCGCTAACGATATTGTGCTAATCTCTCCGTCAAACAGTGTCATTCCGCCAAGAGTCAGTTCACAATCTATTCCGGTTGCGGCCACAACTAAAACTCATTTAAAAAGGTATCAGTAAACAATATTTTTTGTATGCCTAGCAATTTACATTTTAGTCATTTAGCAGACGCGCTTATCCAGAGCGACTTACAGTTAGTGAGTGCATACTCCCCCCCCCCATACTGGTCTCCAGTGGGAATCGAACCCACAACCCAGGCATTGCAAGCGCCATGCACTACCAACTGAGCTACACGGGACTAAAGCACACCACGTGTCTAAAGCACACCTTTATAAGTCTCAGTCACAAATGACCGGTCCAATAACAAGCCCCTATGGTGAACGAGAGGCTTGTAGAATCATGATTCTTTCAAGTTTTTTGTTCATCGTTCGCTGGTTGGAGGTCCTGCGAGCTCTGGGCATTACTGAACGAAGTTAGTCGAAGGATTTGTTCTTTTGACTGAACGAGTTGAAAAGATCAGAGTCAGTAAAAAGAGCCTAATTTCCCATCACTGGGCTCCCGAGTGGCGCAGTGGTCTAAGGCACTGCATCTCAGTGCTTGAAGCGTCACTACAGACCCCCTGGTTCGATTCCAGGCTCTATCACAACCGGCTGTGATTGGGAGTCCCATAGGGCGGCGCACAATTGGCCCAGCGTCGTCCGAGTTTGGCCGGTGTAGGCCGTCATTGTAAATAAGAATTTGTTCTTAACTGACTTGCCTAGTTAAATAAAGGTAAAATAAATAAATAAAATAAACTACTGCTAATGATCTTTGGAAATTAACTATGTGGTGTTATGTCTTACCTCGTGGGTATATACCCGGACTGGCACCCCGAATGCCCTGGCCAACCCGAAGTCTGCCAGCTTGATCACTCCCTTGTTGTCAATCAGCAGGTTCTGGGGCTTCAGGTCTCTGTGGAGGACCCTTCTACAGTGGCAGAACAGGATGCCCTCCAATATCTGGTACAGATAGCTCTGGATGGAGGGGAGATAGTAGCAGAGGGTTAAATTTCACCTACTGGCGAGAAACACTTTACAGTCCGATACAACTTGGACTAAAACACTAAGTTGGTATACCATAAAACTTCAATGAATAGCCCAGGCGTTTATTTGCTTCAATCACTGAACACAACCGGTGCTTATTAGAGACAGGCTTCTAGTTGAGCAAGGCTTCTATTTTCAACAGTAGTGTGCCATCTGAAAACCCATTGTGCTCTAGGAATTTGTCAAGCTAGCCTGTACTAAAAGCGAAGTCAGAGGCCCTACTGTCATTCACAGTGGTGTTAGATCTCCTTTACTTTCACCCTGATCATTATGCAGGAATATCAGAGCTGTATCCATGGTAACCTTGTCAACAAATCATTTAGACCCAGTGTTTATTTGCCAAATGTGTACCGATGCCCGGCTATTAAAAGGAACAGGCGGCTATTTGAGACTTAGCGTTTAATTTAAGTTTTTAAGGTACTCAGTAGTATCAAGAGGGGCGGCAGGTAGATTAGTGGTTAAGAGCGTAGTGCCAGTAACCGAAAGGTCGCTGGTTCTAATCCCTGAGCCGACTAGGTGAAAAATCTGTAGATGTGCCCTTGAGCAAGGCACTTAACCCTATTTGCTCCTTTAAGTCGCTCTGGATAAGAGTGTCTGCTAAATGACTAAAATGTAAGAGCAGATAGTGAAAAAAGTGATCCAAACAAGGTTGTGTGCATCATGACTGCCATACCCTCAGTGGGGTCCATACCTTCACAAGCATGGGGTCCATGTACTGGCCCGAGGGGATAGAGTCTAGGTATTTCTTCAGGTCCATGGACAGGAACTCAAAGATGAGGTACAGTCTGGACTCCTGCATCAGCACATCTAGAAGCCTGTTTGGATACAAAACACACGGGAAACGTATAAACATAGGCTATTTGTTTATGTAGACATATGATGTAGACATATGATATGACAAATGCCAGACTTGCCCTGGCCTTTTCAGCATAATGAGGTGTCTGAGCTTTGAACTGATAACAGGAATCACATGTCTACTTCTCTTGCTGTCTGGCAACTGTAAACACCTTAGGAACCCCACAGACACAAACAGACTGTTACATACTGTACAACATTAGGGTGTGCTAGCTCTTTGAGCAGAGAGATCTCTCTAACAGCTGTGCTTGGCACTCCCTCCTCCTCACTCTCCAGACGGATCTTCTTCATTGCCACCACCTGGCCTGTCGACTTGTGTCTGCCTTTGTACACCACCCCATAGGTACCTGGAAATCACAGGTACAATAATTATTTACTATGGTGTGTAACTAGTAGTTAACTTGATGAATTAGGTATAGTGAATAGGTTGTCATAACAAAAGGATGTGCCACGGGGCAGCAGGTAGCTTAGTGGTTAAGAGCGTTGTGCCAGTAACCGAAAGGTCGTTCTAATCCCCGAGCCGACTAGGTGAAAAATCTGCCGATGTGCCCTTGAGCAAGGCACTTAACCCTAATTGCTCCTGTAAGTCGCTCTGGATAAGAGCGTCTGCTAAATGACTAAGAAAAGAAAAAATCAAATGACATGCACACAAATCTAGATAGAGCAGACTCCGAATGGAGTTTTGGGAAAAACAAACCAAAGTTGAGGACATAACTTACCCTCTCCGATTTTCTCTATTTTCAAGTAATCTTCCATTGTTCCCTGAAAAAACAACAGGCTAGGTTAGCTACAAAACAAACCTTTCATGCCATTTCAAATGAACGACAGGTCAAAATAGCCAACTGGATGTGTGTTTGTTAGCATTAACGTTAGCTGTGAAACATCGTGTGAACTGTCTATCTTAAAAGTGATAGGAAATTAAGCTTGCAGTTAGCGAATGTGAAAAGAATAGCTAGCTAACGCGTTAGCTGGCTAACAGTTAACATTTCGGTAGCTAGCTAGCCAACTAAACAAGATAGACATTACATTAGCTAGCATCATTATTCGATAGCAAAAGCTAGAAAAAAAAAAAACCAGGCATTACTTTGTGACATGTGATGTGACACCTTATTAGTAATAATTTCCAATATCCTTGTTTTTACACGCTGTGCAAACGTTTCCCTCAATGCTAGCGAGCTAAATTGTAAATTTCATGATGACAACTGCTACAATACAATCGACCAAATAAACCTTATAACTACATGTACCTAAAAAAGGTGACACATGTACATATATAACTACCTTCCAATTTCGTTGTGTAACTTGACTGTAGCTACGTTAACTAGCTAGGTGAATGCGTGGTCGGGTGGAAAATGAAGGTGGCTCTCTTGCAGTCAGCTACAGTACTGGGTGGGTGCATTCTTTTCGAATTGGCCGCGGCGCTTCAGGGCTTTCAAAACCAAGCAATCACGTCGCTCGATGCCTTTCAAAAGCGCCAATCGGGAGGAGGCCAGCTCGAAGCGGGATTTGATGGTTTAAAGCGCGGCGGGTGTCGGGAAATGTTTTTGGATTAATAAATAATTCTGATTTTTTGGGAATGTACCATAATTTGCCTGATTATTGAAAACCAGTTTTCACTCAAAAGCATTTTGTCAGACATTTTACAAAAGTCAATTTTGGTTAAACTTAAAATCGTTTGAAATTTTAGTCATTTAGCAGACGCTCTTATCCAGAGCGATTTACAGTTAGTGAGTGCATAATTTTTTCTTCATACTGGCCCCGTGGGAATCGAACCCACAACCCTGGCGCTGCAAGCACCATGCTCTACCAATTGAGCTACACGGTACACAAATGTAGATTGGTTACCAGTATATGCATTAATAGTTTTTTTTTTTTTTTTTAAATTATAATAATCATCCCTAGCCATAGTAATAGCAAATATTTTTTATAACTAACCTCATTGTTCTATCTGTGGTAATAGGCTACTGCTACAATATCCATGTAGGAGCCATTTTGGCCTACTTTAGGCCTATGGTTGTTGTGTTGTTGTCTAAACCTATGGCAGGATTAAACAGATGAGTGTTCAGATAAGATTTACTTGGGTCCCAGCCCATGTGGGTGTGGAGGGGAACGAGGCAGTAGATGAACAGGCTAAACAAGCACTTAGTAGTGGGGATGTTGATGTTGAAGTTTCAATGAGCAAGGCAGAGGCAAAAAGACTGATACATACAGTGATGGTGCAGAGATGGCAGGAGCAGTGGAATAGAGATAATAAGGGAAGGCATTTATTTCAAGTAGGGGAGGGGAGGATGGCAGGAAGGTACAGAAGAGAGGAAGCAATTTTTACAAGATTAAGGGTGGGACACAGCCAGTTGAATAAGACATTAAATGTGATAAGAAAGCCTCCAACAGGAAAGTGTGATTGTCAGGAAACAGAGACCGTGGAGCATGTATTGCTACAGTGTGGGTAGTATCAGAGGGAAAGAGAGAGGATTACATTTACATTTTAGTCATTTAGCAGACGCTCTTATCCAGAGCGACTTACAGGAGCATGAGATCTATCTAGTATGAGGGAGAAGGGGATACAGGAAATTAGTTTAAAGAGTATATTGAGTAGAACGTCATTAGATATAGTGTCAATTTAAAAAAAAAACGTTTTTAAGAGCAACGGTAGGATTTAGTTTCTCCCTGTCTCTGGCCACACTCTAGGACAGTAGGTGGCGGTAATGCACCATAACGTTGGATGCCAACCGCCGATAAACCCCACTGAAGAAGAAGTGTTGTTGTCTATTTAGTTTGTCTGTCTCAGTCAATGATTGTGTATATGAAGGTCTTAGTACATTCCACATAATTTTTTTACAGTAGAGTGCATGTTGGGTCACTGGTCACATGTATTTAGGGCACACAGGTGACCCGGAAGTAGGCATACTAGGGATGCACAGGTATGGAGAGCACAGTAAGAATGTTGTGCTTTGGAATGCTTGTATGAAATTCTTACTATGTTTCTATCTTTGCTGCTAATAAAATGGGCAAAATACCCAACCAAAGAGCTACTTGGAAAGCAGTTGGTTTTGCATGCATTTATGAACATTTGCAAATTGCAATTCCGTGTTAGAGTAGCTATATGAGTTTTTGACTAGGTAGCCACTGAAATACCAATTCAATTCCCCCTGAGCTCTTGTGGGTTAAGCCTTTTTAGACTATGCACCCTTTTCAAGTAGTCAAACCTATGGGTCAAATACCAGGGTCATGTCCTAACTTGTCAAAAATGCCTGGCTTTGGGAAGTTTAACAGTCAACAAATTGAGAAAGAAAAATGTGGCCTGAGTTCCCCCCTATTATGAATAATAATGTATCTTCTAAACAACTACACAAAAATGTGAACAATTACATGAACATAATACTCCATCTGCAAATTTACATTTTACATTTTAGTAATTTAGCAGACGCTCTTATCCAGAGCGAATTACTGTTAGTGAGTGCATACATTTTTCATACTGGCCCCCCATGGGAATCGAACCTACGACCCTGGCGTTGCAAGCGCCATGCTCTACAAATAAATAATGTTATGCATTTTAGAATGAAGGAAAACATCTTAGAGTTAATTACAAAAGAAGATGAATAAAGGAGTTCAACAGAGCATAAATTATTGCTGCTTTTGGGGTTGCATTAATTATGCATAGTGAAGTGCTTTCTAATAACTCATTATGCAAAATGATCAAGGAAAAAACATTAGCTAATGATTAAAACTCTCCACACTCAGCCATATAAATAATGGAGATTAATCTTCTGGCTGGGAGCATAGTTAGGAAAGTTCACAGTGGAACATAAAGGATTGTCACTAATTACCACAGCCACAAAGTTATAAACCCCGCATATTTCTACAATCGATCTTCTTAAAATTTGATTTGAACCTAACCTTAACCACACTGATAACCTTATACTTAGACCAAATTGCCATTTTTACCATATATAGTCAATTTCTACTTTGTGGCTGTGCTATCTAATGGAAACCAACATGGTCACATCGTTTTATTTAAACATAATGATCTCATCCGTGTACTCATCCATTGATCCAGTGGCTTTCAAAGTAAAACAAGATGGAAATGCAATCAGCAGCATTAGTAGGGTAGTGATCAATTACTTCCAATTATCTGCTTGTTGCTTTATGTAATATGCAGCATGCCTAACAATTGATATATGTTTCAGTGGGGATATGTCACATTTATCACGTTCAATTATAATTATCTGGCCAATCCTCAAAAAGGTATAACAAAGCACAACCATGTTTTTCCATATCTCTAAGGTCTTCCATATGAAATAGATGGTTGTATAAAGGCGGCAGGTAGCTTAGTGGGTAAGAGCGTTGTGCCAGTAACCGAAAGGTCGCTGGTTCTAATCCCCGAGCCGACTAGGTGAAAAATCTGTCGATGTGCACTTAACCCTAATTGCTCCTGTAAGTCGCTCTGGATAAGGGCGTCTGCTAAATGTATAATACATATTTTACTGCAAAAGTGGTTAAATTTATAGATATTGTGACACACACCCTTAACTCAAACAGTGCTGTATGGTCCTGCCTGACAAAACTACATACAGTAACATGTTTTTTGATGTTGTGGCTATTGTAATTTGCTCTAAGGAAAACACCCCCTAAACTCAAAAAGTGCACAATAATGCCTGGCTGGAGGGGGGCGGGCAACCTAAGCTCACGTAACCCAATATTGCAAGCGCTGATATTGCTAAAATTTTGGAATACAAGTAGTCAGTTGTCTGCCCTACATACACAAACAAACATTAGGATATCTTAATGCATCTTGGAAATATAGACCTGTAAAAACATAGATACAATAGTCGGAAATACCAACTATGAATATTTATGATGAATGTAAACGTAACTTTTTGGTAGCTGTTCAATAGACAACTTTCCAAGTCAAATTTGCTCTCATTAAGTGCTGTATGGTCCTGCCTGACAAAAATGCATACAGTTACACGTTTTTGATGTTGTGGCTATTGTAATCAGCTCTAAGGCAAGTGGGCTCAGACACTGATTTTTCTCTTTCTTTTCCCAGCCAGTGGATTTTATATATTTAACCCCTACTCTTGCAATTACATTAGGGGCTCCCCATAGATTTGACTACAAATCCAATATGGCTGCCACATTACCATTATGGTGGATTAATCACCTCCCACTGGGCACAGATGTCAATTCAACGTTCAACCAGTGTGTGCCCAAAGACAGAATAAAACAATCAAAATGAACAAGGGCTAGTTATATGCAGGCTACAGTGTTTGAGTGCAATCATGTTGGCCATATTGGATTCAGAATACAATTGTTTAACACCAACAGTCTTTATAGGCATGTGTGTTGTACTCAATTCTGAAAATAATTCCAACATTCATATTTACAGGTGATTTAACCTCCATCAAATGTTATTATGGCAGCCATATTTGATTTTGGACACCATATTGGATTTGAGGCAAAATATGAAGATCGTCTATGATTGCCCCTTTGGACCCGAAAACATTTCATTTTGATGTCTGAGCGATCAGTGTACCGTTTGTTCAATCAATATCCAAACTTAAACAATGAAGACAGATAATCATTTTGACTGCATTAATTCCTTTTTCTAATGTCCTCCACAAGATTTAACTAATGAACAGAGACCTAGAGAGGAAGGGCTGCAACAGGATACGTGTGCTTGCGGTTTTCAAAGTAAAAGCTGTGTGACTATCTGATGTTACCTGACCATCACTCCAGCTAGTTAGCTTTCGCCAGGTTAGTTATTCCCACTGGGAATATATAGTTATAATAAGGGCCACCAACAAGTAATGTTAGTTAACTAGTTAGATGCCTTCCTTCAATGATTGGTGGCTTTAATGACAGACAAAACAGGGGGCTTGTATTAAAAGCCACCAAGCATCGAGCTAAACACTAAAGCTAGCTATCATATCAAACAGGTGTGTGTGTCTGCTCGTGAGCGCAGGTCTGTCAGTGTTTACACTCAGCTAACATGGCTTGACATACCAAGTTGACCATCACCCTCTCTCTGCCATCAGGTGAGTATGAATTAATTATAAACTATTGTCTATATGGTGTAGGTAGCTAGATATAGTTGGTCATTCCCTCCACCTAATAATGGCAGAGATGAAAGGAATTAAGATGGACTTTCAATTGTTCAATCATTCAATTATTCTCAATGGTAATTAGTGAGTATATATGTAGAGAAATAGGTGGGTACGCTTCGTATGCCTGCGTATTGCCACAACTACAGCTGCACTACTGGGTGAGAACAGAATCTGGCATTGTTGACAGTGATAACACCTTCAGTGCGTTCGGAAAGTATTTGGTAGTTTCTCCCATTATCTTCTGCAGATCCTCTCAAGCTCTGTCAGGTTGGACGGGGAGCGTCGCTGCACAACTATTTTCAGGTCTGTCCAGAGATGTTCGATCGGGTTCA